AGGTAGTAAATAGCTTATATTTTAGGCTGTGTGGGCCACATGGGGTCTCTCTTTTTTTTTTTTAACATAACCCTTAAAAAAACAAGGTACAATGCACTCCTCCAATCTCTGGTATATTATAAAACCATGGGCAAGTGGTTCTTTTTTTAATAAGCAATCTACTTCCATGTGGCTTGCCTACTGAGCAGCTCATGTTAAATGGAATGGTCCCAGAAAGCCATTTCTGGGAGAGAAAGCCTCTGTGTCACTTTGCTCACTGGCAAGCATAACCGCACACCTGCCCCTCTGAGCACTAACATAAACCACCAGGGTTCTGGGAAAATGATCAGACAAAGGGAAGGTAATGCAAGGAACTGGCCAGCTGTGGCTCAATTCCAAGGGCAGAAGCATGAGCAAGGATGCCTGCAAGGTGACTCAGGTGGTTCCCTGGGTCCCCAGTATAGCATGGCAAGCAGCATCAGAGAGCTCTGGGTTTCTGCCTGAGCATGACGGTATCTTTAAGCGAAGGAGGTCAGACTTTCATGTCTTCCAATCCGTCCACTGTAGAATACAGCAGTTTGTTCTGACATTTCAAGGCATGAACTATATCGAAGGCTGTCTCAAAAGGCTTCCCATAATTCTGCTTGTATTAAATACAATCATCTTTTTATTTTCTCTTTCTCCCTGAAAAGGACTTGGGAGCAAGCCTGGGGTAGAGTATTTACTACTGGGATGTGAGGATTGCCTTGGTGATGCCTTACATAGACATGATTTCATACTCAGAAAAACTTCCAATATTTCAGTGGATACCGAGCCATAAGAAGATAAAAATTCAGTTAAGAATTCAAAATGATAATTATCTGTTTCAAAACAAAAGGAACAGTCACTGTTTTAGAGCCACTGAGAAACAGATCCTTGAGTTTTGGGGGAGGGGGAAGACAAAACCTTGGCAGTTGACAGGATTTAATCTAATCATCCATAACTTCTCAGTCACACTCAGGTTATAACAGGCTCCAATTTTCTATTAGTCTTTCTAAAGCACTTCAAGTCTTTATCTTCCAGTTGCTGGCGTGCCTTTAATAAAATTATTTTGAAAGAAGAGTAGGTGACTGAAAAAAGTATCAGTGCCAATACATTTTTTATTTTCCTAGAAGCTGGCCAAAAATATTACATAATAAACAATGCCTTGGGTTTATGATTGGACTTTGTTTCCTCTCTGTGAAAAGGCTTTTCCGTATCTAAATGTAAGGTTCAGAAAACTGAACATCCACCTAAAGTTGTCTCAACTAATTTTGAAAGAAACAAAATCTGGCTTACTTTAGTAATATACAAGAAGTGAAGCCAGAGTCAGGTCTATGATAAAAACTGAATGAAAGGAGAGGCCCAGGCCACATCACGTTAGAACTCTGAATTCCTAGTTGCTCATGGATTCTGACTCCAGAGGTTAAGGTGGCCTCGATTTGGCCACTGTGATGGGTGATTCTAACAGGATGTGAGGCTAAGGTAGCTCAAGTTTCAGGAGATGGTATCTGATGTGCTGTGGCAATATAATGTGTCTTTTTTGTAGCAAGAAAAACGAGAGACACGTAAAAAGAACAAAATTGAGGTAAGATAAGGAGGAAGGAGAAGAAAAGAAGAAGGTGAAAGGAGAAGATGAACCAGGGAAGCTTCTTTATCCTGAAAAAAAGATTCTTTTCTCAGGCATGGGGCAGCAAACGTTTTCTTAAAGGTCCAGGTAGTAAATATTTTAGGCTTTTGTGGGTCATGTGGTCTCTGCTGCAGATGCCCAACTCTGCTGGAAAGCAGCCAGAGACAATACATAAACACATGGGAGTGGCTATGTTCCAAAAACCTTTTATTTACAAAAGAATGACCAGCCCACAGTTTGCAGACCTGTGAAAGATCATCTGTCGGCCAAATGAGACCCTGCATGGGCTGACCTAAAACCAAAAGGAGCGGGTGTGGCAACTTGGGCCAGCACCTTGGGAAACTCCAGCCCAGTCCCAGGGGCACTGACAACACGCCAGACCCACTGAGGGTGACACTACGGCATCTCCAGCTTGCCTCACATAGCATGTTGCCCTTTCCTACTTGGCTCGTAGGTCCATTGATCAACAGGCAAACTGCCCACAAATGATGGTGACAGCTTCAGTCGTCACTACAGAATTCATCACACGGGAGAAGAGTCCAAACTTCAATTCAAAATGACCGTCTTGAAGTGATGTTTTACTGATGACCTATCTGAACGGTGAGAAATCCACCTGCACAGTATGTGATGCGTAGAGGATCCTATTAAAAGCACCACCTTTGTGAAAGGATGACTAACACCTATCTATACTATGCAGGAACAATGAGGCACGACACCCACAGCCTAAGATTATTTTTTAAATAAGGCTTGTGTAGAAGTCTTTAACGAAGTACAGACACAACAGAACTGGCCTCTACCTAAGGGAGCCAAGGGACTAGCAACTGCAGGTTAACAGACATTAATAACATTTATATGTAAGAAGCCTCAAGAGCACAACAAAGGTTCATGGCCTTCTTGCTGCGCTCCAAGATTGCTACACGTCTGAGGAAGTGCTAGGGGTGAGGCTCTGGACCCCAAATGACTGTACAGTCTCCATGCTGTCCTCCCAAACCCAGGGGGCCTCAGGGGATAGAAAATGGGAGATAGAAATGGGTCTCCTGAAGAGGGCTCACCTCTGGGGAGCTATGGTAGAGCTTCAGTGATTGCTTCCCAGGCGTCTTCCAGCTCCTCCAGAAGCTTAGAGGAAACACCAATGTTCTCTGGTCATCAACATCAGCTCCAACAGTCACTTCACTGAGCACAGGCCCAGGAGGAGAATTCCTTTCAAATTTGGAATCCAGAAGGTGGGACAGACTGCCTTTGCATCGAGTGGCAAGCCACACTGTGACAATGGCTACAGGAAGGAGGTCTTTGCAAGAGAGGGAAAACAAGGGGAGACTCGAGATGAAACCAAGGCTTGGAGGTGTCTGGGAGACAGGTTTGCCAGCATCTGTTGTAAGTGTAAAAGAGCTTCCAGAGTCGGCCCTCAAGTTTGCTTTTTTTCTTTCTTCTATTAGTAAAGTTAACTGAATAAGCAAAAATGAGATTCAACAAATATAAAAATAATTCTAAACTTTTAAGTGTCTTAATTATGTAGAATCCCAGTCTATTTAAATGTGGTCTACTATAAAGTGTAAGTTGATTTTAAAGATGATCCATTGCATTGTTAGGTGTATAAAATAAATACATAAACATTGATACCTTATCTCAAATACTGCCTAGAATGGGAGAGAAGGCTATTATCTTGAAGTAAGCTTTTAAAAATGAAAAAGAACTTAGAAAAGTAATGGAATGAATTATAAACCAGCAACTGGAAAAGTACCACCCACTTACAGCCTCACATCCCTAACCTAATCCAAGCACCCTTACAAGGTAGTCTATATGCAGCTAAGGGGGCACCTTGAACATATGTACAGGGATCAGCACACCTGACATGGGCAAACCTCCACCGTTTAAGTCACCGCAAAAACAATATCCAGTGACGACTATATGAAAAGATTTTTAAAAACTTTAAAACCACTTTTATAGATTAAATGAATCTACTTAAAACAGGTTAATGCTTCTGTGCAACTTAATGCTGAGAAAGGTTGCCAACATACACACTCAGCAGTTTCATTAATATAGGTAGCTCCTGAATGGCCAAAGTCAAAAATAAAAAAAAAAAAAAAAAAAAAAAAAAAAAAGACTCATGGGATAGAGGAGACACCACGAAAAAAAAAATCAAGGCTTCATGGAAGATAGCAAACTTCACTATCTATAAAATTCAACACAATTTTCAATTTCCCATGAATCAAATGCTTTTCTCCAGTCCTATCCAATCAGAAGTTTTCATTATATACAGCAAAACTTTAACAGAATGGGTAGAAAACCTGTTTTATCATGATTTGAATGAACTAATGCATGAATAAAGGTACATCTGGGTTAATCCAAACAGATCTGAAGCAATATGAATGGAAACATTTTTAATAAAAAGGAGAGAGTAGCAGCTATCCATACAAGCCTATTCTGGGGAGAGAGCATGTTAGAGAAGCTGGCTGAGGCTTTAGCAACCAAGCCTTACTGGTAGAGTGGCCCAATGGAGACGTCGAGTACACACTATGTTATAATGGAGCAATGTCACAGGCACCAAGGTAAAGCCAATGTACCCATCTTAGGCCTCAAACAACATCAGTTACAAATATTGCAGCTCACACTTTTGAGCCATGAAACAGAGCCTGACATGACAGAGGCCAGTGTAACACTACAAGTATTAACTGCTAGTATGGTGCTAACCAATCAGAAAGGGCACCTACTACTCTAACCATGTACATTTCACATTGGAATACCAGCTGAACATTAGCTCCTGGTACAGGGGTGTGTATGGGCACACTATGAGATGTTGGTGCTCCTTTCTCCAACAGCAAGCCTGCTCTGACCTTTATACAATTCTGTGTTGTTTACACCTCTCTGAGTCTGCTGCCATAGTGATTTGGGGGATACTCATAGCGACCCTGGGCTACATTTAAGTCATCTGGCATATGCTAATTACTCAGCTCATGAACACCCTATCACACTGCATGGAGAAGAAAGAATTTTACTGTAAAACTGGGCTTGGGAGACATCTGTGGCTTATAACCACAGGCAAATGCACCCAAACATACACACACACACGTCTTAAACTTTTCTATTACTGAAAATAACATTTTGGCTTTCTTTGACTATGGAAGTACTCAGGGCAAGGAAAAAATCAGAACGGTCACTCTTATCCTAATTGTCAAATTACGGCTACAAGATGGAAAAAAGGTCCTAGGTTTTTTTTTTTTTCCCCCAAAGTAGGATGAAAACCTCACTAGTGTGCTAGCAATCCTGCAAGGCCAAAAATGAAAAGGATGATAAGAATCAGTAATGCAAATAATTTGGGGGATGTGAATAACTTTTAGAGCCCATAAATCAATATTAACACCTTGTGACACACCTCTTAACCCATGGGCACATAATTTAGAATACTTTCTTCAAATGACAAAAGATCAGAGATGAGTGACCAACAATGAATATGAATTTTTAAAATGGGGTAACAGAAATATTAATCTTTTATAATAATTATAAATTCCCTCTGCATTCTCCACATACCATAAAAATGATTTGGTTTAGCTTTCAAATATCATTTAAACAAACAAGACAGAGGGAAGTTCACTGCTGGGGTTTGCAAAGAGGAGCATCTGTTCATGTACAGATACTGTAGGGTGGCTGCTGAAAAGCTACTTTTATGTGCATGATGGTGGTCTTCTCGGCTACAGTACAAGTGCTTGTGCATCAAGTATAAAATACAAGCCTTTAATCACATAGATCAGCTTTTTAGCTTTTGTAAATTTAAAAACAAAAAGGATAAATAAGGCACTGTACTTTTAAAAACTAAAACTGCTTGGTTCCAAGTTTAAAACCCAAGGAACAACCAGAATATAATATATAACTTCCCTTACTCAGCCTCAGAGAAAGACTCTGCAAGTTCCCTTCTCCATCTGAGATGCAATTTCTGACATCTTAAATTGTGGTGTTCTCCATTAACTGCAGACTTGAAAGGCTTGATAAGCTTATAAAAGCAGATTTAGTTAATGCAAAATAAAGGGTTACTTCTGTAGAACAGTTTTAACTCTTGAATACTGCCCTTCCAATCACTTTGTATCCATCCGCCTCCGTTTGCTGTGGGAAGAGTCCAGCTTTGCCTTCAGCTTTCGCTTTCTCTGGGCTGCACTGTTCTCTGGGGTTTTCGTCGAGGGTCTGGCCCGAGTCTTTCCACTGCTCTGCTTCCTATTTGTGGCTTTCTGTGGCCTTGAAGAGGACTCACCTGCCCCTTTTTGCTTTGCAGGTTTTGTCACCATCTCTGAGGGGGAGGGCTGGGTAGGTCTTTTGCTTGTATTCTCTTTTTCTTTCCTGGAGGGAGGGCAGCTCTTCCCAGGTGACTTTTTAGGGATCTTCCCTTTCTTCTCTTTCAAAGTCGTCTTTTTGGGCAGTTGGCTGACTCTGTCCCTTGCAGCTGGCTTCTTGGCAGCGGGGCTTCTGGTGGATCCATCAACGTGCTTTTCTCTGCTGGCCTTCATCGCAGCTCCCTTGTCCTTCCTGTCCTGAGTGCTGCCGCCTTCTGTCCTCTTGCGTTTATTCTGAACTTCTGCTTTCGGCGAGATTTCAGACATCTGCTTCCCTCTCCTTCCCTTCATTCCATCGGTACTCTTGGGCTTAACAGGAAACCCATCTGCACCTACTTGCAGGGCAAGCTTGGGGGACATCAGAGGGTTGATGCACACACTCTTACAACTCTGTTTACTTTCCACAGCCGGACCAAATGGGCTTTCCACTTTCTCGTTCTTGATCAAACGCTGCTGGGCTCTGAGCTTTCCTCGAATGTTGGAGTATTTTCTAAGGATCCGGGTACTGGCAGGGGTAGGTGAGTTTGTGGGAGGATGGCTATTTCTACCTTCCTTGACCTCCTCTATGCTGTCTTCAGGATTGGGGCTGAGGCTAACGTCACTGTCATCCTCTGGCTCCACTTGGTCAAGATCCTCCCGAAATTTAGCCCAGAGCTTCTGTGTTTTCCAATTGTTCCTAGCAGGAGTAGCTCCAGGAAATTTCTTCAGGTGTTTTTTCAAGCGTTCAGCCTGTAGTGAACTGGGGTACAGGCTGGAAGGAGAGTACTTCTGGAGAGGATGCTTCACAGGTGGGATGTCTCCCGGAAGACGGGTATTGAGCTTCCTCACAATCACCAGAGACCGGGTTTCCGTTGTCTCTAAGAACCACTTGCAAACGTTAGATAATTTAAAGTTTGTCATAAACAGCATCTGAACAGGAGAAAACTTTTGAACCTCCAGCGAACCCCGACATTTCCGTGACCTTTTCTTGCTTTTCCAAATTTCCTTCAGCTTATCTGACTTGCTCCTTGCTCTTGGTGTTGGCTGGGCTTCTTTCTCCAGCTGGATCCAGCCCTTCTGAACTTTCAGGTACTGGGCATTGAAGCTGGCGATGAGCTCTTGGTTCTCCTCCTCGGCACACCATTCTACAAACTTTGGCTGGTCGTCTGCCACTGTGTCCACGTCATCCTCGTCTAAGGGATCTCCACTCTCTGAAGTTTCATTTTCCTTTGGCATTGCGTTTCCTTGTGCTGATTCCTTTTCGGAAGTCACTTTTATAGTATCCAAGGAGTCCAGAGAATGAGCATGTCTTAGGTTGTAGGTTGAGGAGGTCAGTCTTGTAAGCCTTGGGACCCATTTTGGGGGCCCAGCAGCGTCATCACTTCTACTACTCGACAATCCAACTGTGCTAGATAGCACGTCACTGTCATCTTCTTTACGCGGGCTGTCCGCACTATCTGTATCATTTACAACCTCTTCCGTCTCTTGTGCAGGAATAGGTCCTGGCTTCTCTTTTGATTGTTCTGGGAACGTACAAGGAATGCTTTCAGAGGGGTCTTGAGTACTGTTCTCACCTAATTTAGACTGAACATAGATTTCCAGTTTCTCTCCAGGCGGCGGCTGGCCAACTGCGGCTAAGGGGTCACTGCTGGGGAAAACGCCTTCTTCCCCCTTGACTTCTTTTGCTAGCATGTTTCTAAAAGCCTGCCTGGTGATCATCCCACCTCCTTCGCCCTCCTGCTCAGCATCTTTCTCAGAGGGGTTTTCATTGACATTTGGGTTTTCAGTGTCCTCCAGAGCTTGTGTATGGAAACCTTCAGTCAGGAAGCTCTCAGGTGCTGCCCCACCAGGATATCCTTCTTTTTTAGAACGTCTTGCACCAGGATTTTTAGAAACCTTGATCTCAGCACAAGCAGAGGAAGAATCTGAACTTTGATTTCTTAGGCACCTATCGGCAGAGGAAGAATCTGAAAGTTGACTTCTTAGGCACCTATCAGAGGCCTCGGGGAATTTTTTACCTTTTTTCTTCTTGTCCAGATTCTCTTCAGGTGAGTCAATGTTTTGATCACACATATCTTTTTCTGTAAGATGTTTTACATCACTATCCTCTCCCTCGAATTTTCCTGTACCACCTGGTGCCTCACTTTCCTCAATTTCACTGGGGTTTTCATTAGTCAAAGTGCTGCTTTCCTTCAAGAGTGGGTCAGTATCTAACTCCTGAGTGTCTTCAGTCTCAGCCTCAGTACCGATGCTTTGGTCTTCCTCAGCCTTTCCCAGGCTCGTGGGAGGCTCCAAGCCCACTGGGGGACTTTGATTTTCTGAGCACAGAGGACTTTCCTCTCTACTTACTGTTTCAGGAGGGGAACAAGGCCTAGGAACAACATCTTCACTGCCTCCCTCAGAAAGGCTCTCTGTGGAGGGAAGCAGGGGACAGTCTTGGGGTACACTCATCTCCTTTGTATCTAGCAGTTCAACTGGCTGTTGGTCTCGTTCAGGGGAAGATATCCCACTTCCTGTGGGAGCTGAGACCGCAGAGCTGCCTTCTGGAAGATCCTCTTCAGGAAGGTGAGCAGGGAGAGGCCACACTGGGTTGGAGGCTGCTGTCTCCTTTGATCTAGAGGAGCTGCTTGGGTTTGCGTTATTTGTCACAGGGCAAACCTCAGGCTCTTGAGATTCCTTTTCAGATGATGCATCTCTGTCTCCTTCCTTGAGGGAAGTTATTTCTTTACTAGGTTCTTCAGAGTTGTCTTCTCTGGGATGCTGCACATCTACTGTAGGCTGAGGTGATGAAATGATAAGGGTCTGCTTGGGAGTGACCACTGCCTCTGAGGCCAGTGTTGAGCAGCTTGCTTTTTCTTGGGAGTGTAAATTCCTGGCCAGTGTGCGAACAGTTGGCAGCTCACAACAATCACCGTTGAAAAAGTATCCTCGAGTACTCTTCCTGGCCGTTTTCCGAGAAGATAACACCGATCGTTGATTCTCAAAGTGGCATTCTGTTATTGGCTGGCTGATATAAACGACATCACATTGGTTATCATAATCGTTTATCCTCAATCCTGATGCCCTTTTACTTTTCCGAGCTGTCTTAATGGAGGTTGAAAGCATCTTGGTTCGTGAATGTCCATTAGATGCTTTGTGTACAGGTGGCATGGGGTTGGGGGCTAACCAACCGTCTTTGGAATGATCAAACTGGTTCTTACCACTGGGCTGTAAATGGTAACCCATTTTATTTCTTCCTAATGAGTGAAGATGGTTCTCTTGCTTTGGCCTTGAATCTTGTTCACTTGCCTCTAAGTCCTGGCGTAAAGGTGTTTTTGAGCTACACTGTAAAGCATTCTCTTTGTCAGCAGTTCTAGGTGAATTCCCCATAAACCCTGAGTCCCAAGCCTCTTCTGATAAAGCTCTGAATGAATTTCTTTGAGAAACAATACAGCTGTTGCTCTCCTCACTATTCTCAGTTGCCACTTTTACTGCAATTAGATTTTCTACTAAAGCTGAACTCTGCACATGGTCTTTACCATCCTTGCATATTTTCACATCTGTGTCTTGCTCCTGTCCAGTGGTTTGCCCCTCCAAGCTCTTAGAGATGTGGTGGAAGTTTACTGAGGAAGAATTAGGTGCAGTGAGGTATCCCAGAGTGGAACTATCCATTGAATTCGGTTTAGTGGTTGGAAGTTCAGAGGAATCTTTTTGGACAACAGTGAAAGTATTCTGTCTTCCATCTACAGCGTTTGTCTCGGGAGGAGGCTCCTTTAGGGCCTGTTCTGTCAAGTGTTGAGGGCTGTGAGAGCCTGATGAGTCTATGAACAACTCTACAGAAGCAGAAGACTTCATATTGAGACACATAGCATCCTTTTCCTTATGTTTGGTGCCGAGCTGGGCACAGCCAGCATTGCAGGTGGAGGCATCCATTGTTCCAGAATCCGAAGGTCGCAGGTCCTCGGTGCCTGGCTGAGATTCAGTGTACAGATCGTTCAGAACACGAATGAACTGCTTCTGATGATGAGTGCACAGTTTGACCATAAACTTCTCCAGTGGGGACTTCGACTGATTGTTAGAATCTACTGCTATTGCCTCTGCTGAGTTCTCACTAGACAGACAAAAAGAAAGAAGAAATTAGTATGGTTATTTTCCAAAGAACCATTTTTACACTATGAAATTCATCAATGTTACTCATGTTGTACAGAGAATTGACACTCTGGCCAAAGCTGGTTCTAAGTGCCCATATGCTTTTTATTCAATAAATGAGGAGCATTTACTTCATTAAAATATAAGGCCAGCCCTGTTATATTCTCAACTTTTGGTGACAACTTTCATACTTTTTTTTTTTTTTTTTTGTGGTACGCGGGCCTCTCACTGTTGTGGCCTCTCCCGTTGCGGAGCACAGGCTCCGGACGCGCAGGCTCAGCGGCCATGGCTCACGGTCCCAGCCGCTCCGCGGCATATGGGATCTTCCCGGACTGGGGCACAAACCCGTGTCCCCTGCATCGGCAGGCGGACTCTCAACCACTGCGCCACCAGGGAAGCCCAACTTTCATACTTTTAAAGTGATTACACACAAATAATTTTTATCTTATAGAGAAGAAATATCATTGAAAAGAAATTTTTCTCCAAAAATAAAAATTTTGGCCACATTATTAACTTCAGTTGGTCAACATACACTTTCGTTTTAGGCCCGAGTATTCCTGTTAAATAATCACTAGCTCATAGATCCACAACACTGAAAAAAATTCAGACACACTGTATTACAAGTCTTGGTTTAGCAATACTTAGAGAAATTACAGTTTTAAATGGTTTCTCAGCTTGACCAATTGGCTGGACTCTATAATTCTGCAAACAGAGATGCAGGAATCCTCCTAACCCTTTGGGGCATGGAGGAATAGAGATCAATAATTTCACATTTCGAATACACTGAAAGATGAATGACAAGCAATTCCTAACTCCTAGCCTCTAAATGAGGACACAGATGTGAAATTACATTGTAAACCACAAGGCCCTGTCAATGCAAGATAGTAGTACTGTCGCTTCTCAAGCCCCACCTATTACCTTCTCCTAGACCTTCAATAAACATTTTACAGTAATGCACAGGAAGCCAATTCTACGTTTAAGAACACTTTTCAACCATTTCCGTAAATTATCTAGGACAACTCTTAGAGTTTAATCAGGATAGTGGGGAAGGCAGAAAAAGGATGATACTAGATTGAGGACAGGCTAAAGGGCAATTTCTGCCTAGATAGCCAAGTGTTTTCAAGAGCTGTTTTGTATTTCTGGATGTCGGGATTTTTACTAAGCCCATGCAGTTGGTGTGTCCCAGTTTTCTGGAGCTTTATACAACTTCTCAATCTCTCTCTCTCTCTCTCCCGCCTAATTCCTTAGAAGACTATTATCTGACTCATTATGTAACACAGCAAAGCACCAAGGGTAGCTTAATAAATGTGTGCTGAACAGATGTTGTTTGATAATATCTTCCAGCTAATTATTTTTCCTTCAATCTTTGACTTTATCTCCCAGTCATGACGTGCCTCTATAGGAAGGTGTACCCTAGACAGCCTACATCGGCCTCCTACCTCCCTACCCTCTTCTGGCCTCTGAAGCCATGTGGTTTTAGTGCAAAGAGCACAGATTGTGGAATATGAAAAACCTGTATTCCTCTTGTAGCTCTGACATTTACTAGCTATAGGATCTCAGGCAAATTACTTAACCTCTCTGAACCTTGGTTTCCTTATCTGTAAGCTGGAACTGAGTATCAATATTTCAAAGGATTGTTGTGAGATATTAGATTACATAAAGCACAAAGCACAAAAGAGGAGGTGCTCAATTTTACTTTCTCTGTTCCTGACTCATGCAGATTTTTAAGACCAAGTGGTGAATAACGCTGAAACATGTCTAAATACAAAACAAAATAACATCAAGAAACTATTAATCCAATCTGTTATTTAAACTGTTTTGCAAGAAAAAGGTTACACTGTGTTTTTATTTTCACAACTAGCAAAACAGCAGTTTTCTTTAGTGATGCCATGGGTATCTGAAAAGGTCTACATTAGACTACAGATTAGAAAAACTAGAAATGTCTTAGAAGATGCCTACACCTCAGTGTGAAACTGATCACTGAATTGTGAATAAACCAAGAAAAAAGATTATTATAGAAGCATTATAACAGATGCATGGGTACGCTGAGCATGTACATGCTGGCTATGGGGCCAAAATCTAACAAAGAGACGGAAAGACCAAGAGCAACTGGAAAAAAACCTCACTGAACAGGATACTTATGATATGTATATTTTTCTGTCTGTATACTGTCCTTCAGTAAAAAGTTTTAGAAAGGAAATACCTGGAAGGTCAACAGGAAGAAGTCCCTCCCTTCCTTTAGAGCGGGGGAGACACCAGTGACACTCTTGGGTGAGTGACTGCAAAGTCATTTCCAACTCTCGGACTCAATGAGATATACGTGGGAACTTAACAAACTCCTCCTGCAGCTGCAGACTTTGTAGCTCACGGGGAAGTCAGGAGGTCCCTGCTGAAGGGACCCCTTCCAGGAGGTACCTTGTGTCCATGTCCATCACGTGTTACTAACAACATAATATGTGTCACAGGACATAGTACTGGGAGACAGTAGAGAGTAGTCTACCCTTTACTAGTTGTGTGACCTTGGCCAAAACACTGAACCATTTTGGGTCTTAGTGGAGCACCTGTCCCATCTACCACTTAGGATTGCTACAAAAGAAAACCCACAAAGTTTACACAAATACTAGTTACCATTACTGTCAGCCAATCCCATTAAACATGCTTCAATAAGAATAACTCAGAGACCAGGAATGTATATTAATACTTTTTGCAACCCCCCAAAGAGGATTTTCTGGATAATGAAAGTTTACCCTTCAAGTACCAAACATTTAAAAATTTAAGTATTTTTGATGGAAGTTTTAAAAAAATTATATCCTCCTCTGAACACAATTTATTCTTTCTTAATGACTCAGAGTCATTACCATGTACACTATTATTGAAGCTTGGCTATTATTTTTATTATACTGAACTGAAATATATTGATAGTTTTGGGGGCTACTCAATTAAGTAAATCTACTGCCTAAATACAAAGAAGTCACAGTGGCAGTCTGTATTTTATGAAAAATCTGTCTGCATTTTATAAAAATCTTTCTTCTTACTGGCCTCCAAATAGCAGGGGTGTTTAGGAGTCCCACTTTTACCTTTAGCTGAGTACTTTTGCTCACTAGCTGAGAAGCCAAATCTCAAGTGCTAGACTGGTACTTTAAGTGAAAGTAAACAAGCTCTGAATGAAGGCTTGGGGAAGAGTTTTGTGAGTAAACCCCATGGGTCTTCTGACAACAACTTCAACTGCTCAGAGCCCTTTATTTCTGTTTTTGGTTCTTGGATGTGTTCCTGATATTTCTCAGATAGGTGGCTACAAATAAGTGAGATATTACTGCCTTTTCAATGCATCAAATACACTCTAAGTATATTTTAGCAATACAAGAAAAGAGAAAAAAGGTTGACAAAGATCTATGAGAAGGATTAAGAAATGTCATGGCATCTTATTGTAGAAAAGACTAAAGAGAGAAATAAATGGTTCTCCCCAGTTCAAGAAGTGCACTCATGTGAAAATGTTCTGGACACTGCTTCATGGCTGTGAAGCCATGGCTGTGCTCTGGAAGCAGGCTTTGATGTTTGAAGTTAACAACATGCCTTGAGATTCATGAAATCAAGGTGTGTGCCCAATAAAAGTACAGAGAGCTCTGAAGAAAGACTGAGGAAGCACTTTCTTCTAAAGCGATGCTCACAGAGAGTAAAAAACTGAATAATGATTGATCCTTGGATGATACCTAACTTCCTTTATGGTTATGAAACTTGGATTTGCTGCTGTCCCACATGTTTCAATAATTTAATAGTGATTGAATATTTTAGTCACCCCCAAACTAATGTAAGGTCTTCCAAAGGGCCATGCAATCAGCTCTGAAGCAATGATTGTGACAATATGGCTAGTCCCCAAGGACAAAACAGTCAACCAACCACCAGTAGGTATTATCTATTTCACAGCATCATGGCAAGGGGAAGTGGTGTCTTCACAACTAAGGCATACTGAAGAAACATTGTTAGTACCACTGAACTCTAACCTGGAACAATGCAGTACAGCATTTGGAGGCTGAAAAACACATCACAGAGGTGGACACAGACTACACCAACCTTAAAACGCATTTATAGCAGTGGTTTGGGGAAGCTCAGGAGATGAAAAGATTAAAACTGAAAATGGCAACCTTGCTTGAGAGAAAGAGAAATCAGCAAAGGGTCATTTTGTGTGTATTTTCCCGGTAAAAAGGATCAGGAACAATGTACTGGTGAACCACAGGTCACCAGAGCAAGCAGTAGGGTGCTCTTTATCAGTTACATCCTTGGCCACCTCAAAACTATCAACATGGAGTGACTATATCATTTCCTGAAATCCTAAGCTATAGTGGTTTGTAAAATTCTTCGGCAATGATCAGGGGTTTTGTATATTTACCCTATAATTTGTATCTTTTACTGACTTAATCTGTCTTGTGTTTGTCTTAGCTTTCCAAGTAGATGTAAGCTACTTGAGTGTAGGTAGGGGCCACATTTCATGTTTTTCTGTTTCCTCTTAGCATAAAAGAGGGGGAGGGAAAGGGAGCATCAATGATGCTTCCTGAGTTTGCTTCTTGGATTTTCTTCCTAGGTAGCACCATTTACTGAGATAGGAACACAGGTGACGAAGCTGGCAGCTGGTGATTGTTGGGGTCTATGTATCTGAAGAGTTCTGTACACATTGAGTTGAAATTTTTATAAGATGCTGAATCTGAGATATCTGGTAGGCAACTGGACACACAAGTATGAGCCCACTAGTAGCTTCACTTGAATATGAGAACCTTCACATTAATACTAACCTTTGTCCAAGTGTCATTAAATGGGCCCTGTTATAATAGCTAACTTTATGACTATAGTAATAAAATTACTTTTGACTGTGCTTCTAAATTACCCAGCTTCCTACCTTA